GTGTATTTTTTGGAATATTAATAGAATATCCTCAAATAAAGATGGACAGTAGCAAGTGAAATTCACACTTGACACCGAGATAATCTCCTTTTTTTTAATGAAATACTTTTACTCACAACTCTTAAGGCTACAATGGTTGCGCATGTCATATTCAAAAGACATATTTGGGTGTGCCATCACCTCAGGAAATAAATATGTTAAGTGCAAAGACATCAGAGATGCATCAACAGACAGTATTAGCATTGTGCAGGTAAAACTGAGGATGAGCATCTTGGACATCTTCTCAACATGGATGCTATTGGCAAACAAAAAAATATAGTATTTTCCCCCACAGTTCCGCCTGACATGGTGGATGGTGTCCTCCAATGTATCGGTCTCTCCCAGTATGCCCCCACTCAATTATTAAACCCCTGACCCTGATACTGTTTGTCTCATACCACCTCCATGCAGGGCTGGTGCATGCATGTCCAGACTAAACAACAAACAAACAAATGATCCTGATTCAGCCCTCTGTGATGCCACAACTCACCTTTAGATGCTTGTCCCTTTGATCTCTGCAGCCATGTTGGATCATGAAAAAGAAAAAAGGAGAGTACATGGTTATTTCCAGCTGATTTAAGATATCACACAGATTGAGAGCAGCCTCTGATGTAAGCAGTGTATTGCTGGGAAGCTGAACATTAAGACCACTTCCTGAATAGGGGCAATACAAAACATGTATCTAACGTTAGTGTGTGGAAGCTGTGCGTACTTACAGCTGGTTATAACAGTGAAAGTAATTTAATTGCTGTGTAACTTGTGTTAGTTAATCAACCAGCTAACGTTAGCGTTAAATCAGGCACAACTTCGCTAGCTAACGTTAACTAGCCCTCTTAAAATGGCTTTATAAACGTCAGCAGGCTGTAACTTAGTTTGCCATGAGAGTCTGAATACATTTGGGTCACCCTAGAAACAATGCTGGTGTTTGTACCACCTTCAATAAAAAGTTAGGATTCACTGAATAAGTTAGCTTGAACCTCTGTTTAATTATTTCAACGTTAGCTTCACGTATTGAACCATAGGTGGGGAGTTTTTCCTGCTACGTTGGTGGCACAAACATATGGTCACAGTTAAAGATGCGTTTGACAACGGGCTACACGCTAACGTTTAACTTAGTGTCACCATTCTTGGATGTCCGTTACAAACATTTAACCGTTTAACGGAATGTAGCTAACTTGCTAGCTACAAGCACCGGCCAACGTTAGTGGCTAGCTAGCACTTCCGATGAATAGCCGTAGCCCAGTAAATCGTTAACGTTAGCAGGCAGCTAGCTTGCAAGGTCTGTACAGGCGAGGTACATCGTTCTTCCTACCTGAGGGTCAATGCTTGTGGCAGACATAATTCATTAAGCAAGTCCCTGGATTCTCACAGAGCCTGAGCTTGTGACTGGAGTTCAAGCCCCGTGATTTGAAAGCAAGTTCACAGCTCAGTTACAGTTAGCTATGTGGCTAGTTGTGCCGCTTAGCGTGTGGCTAGTAGTTGTAGCGCAGGCTCAGCTGTATATTTTCCGCTGTGTGCACGTATCCCAACTTCCACAGTTCAAGTCTGTCGCCTCGGATACTGTGTCCGAAAGCAGTCAAGTCCTGGTGCGGGTTTTCAAGTTAACGTTATGTGTCGCCGAGTGGACCTTTCGGTGCTTGGATATTTCTGCCCTCGGTCGCCTTTTACTTTGTCTTTATTATTCCAGAGAGAGAGCCCTCCTCAGTTACGTTAAAGCCCAGTACACTTCCCCAATGGCTGCTCCATCCGGGCTTTGAGCCGCCGCTGCAGTTCACGTCGCTCCCCGCGGGGTGGCAAAAGTTTGAAGCATCGTGAGGACCTTAATAACTGTGATTTAAATAACACAGAGCCAACTGCAATAAACCCAAATCACTAACACTGACAGTTGAGTAAAAGTTTTCTCTTTGCTTGTACTGATAATGGTGCTATTTCTGCAGCCTCTGTGGGTGTAAACAACGCCAGAGGAGGTATCAGCAGACTGAGTGTGGTTTTACTCCAGGGCCCCTTAGATCTGATACAGATGAGCTCAGCTCTGCTCATGTGAGACTTACTGGAATGTAAATGACACATGGTAGAACAAAAGAGCCACAGTAAGCATTGTAAATTTAGATGTTTAAGGTGTCAGTCAAATCCCAAATGTGGATGCAGTCCATCCTGCAGGTGACCCCACTGAGACAGATAGAAAATTATACATAGGGTATTTTAAATAGGATCTGTATTGTAAATGTGACAGTGTGTGGTCACAGTGTGAGCACAGGTTGAAACTTATACCTGCAGAATAACTCAAGTTAAGCATGACAAGCAATTTATCATGAACTGGTTAGGTTCTGGCCTGTAATAAATTACAGTAGTTGTTACTCTCTTTCACCACCAGGAGGCAGCAATGCACACGCAACTCCCTAAACAGTCAAAGGTCAAACCCTAACTGTTTATAGCTAGTCATTTTCAGGATTTATTAAACCTCATCATACTGACAGTATACAGAGCAGATACAATATCATCTTGTGTAGCTGTTTCAAATGTTAACGCCCTAAAAATGCATTAAAAATTTGGCCAACAATGAAACTTCTCAGTATTATGATCAGTATTGACATATGCTTTGGGATGTAAGTCTTCCAACAAATGGTTTCCATGGGCTTTGAAACAAGCCTGGTCCAGACCAAGTACCTTCTGACAGGTCAGCACTACACTTCTGCATCTGACCTGGTCACTGACGTACTGCAGGCGGAGCAGGAGGACAGAGTGGGCCACAGAGCAGAGGTAACAATCACTACATTTACTCAAGTATCGTACATATTTTAAGTACTTGTGCTTAACTTGAGTATTTCCATTTTGCAAGAAAATTATTTGGTTGGGGCCTCTTATCACATGCCACATGCCTATGAGTTGTTAGCGGTTCCAAGTATTTTAACTTTTGAGCTAGTTTTTGGCACAACAAATCCCAGTATTGTGAAGTGTGACTATGCAGCTTATTTTATGTGTTTAACCAGTTAACTCCTTCATCCTTATTAGCAAAAGGAGGGAGCAATCCTGTAAGGCCTTGAGCACACAAACACCCAGCAGAGAGAAAGATCAGAGTCAAGACCTGTAGCAGGGGTGTCAAACATGCTGCCCGTGGGCCAGAACCTGCCTGCCAAAAGGTCCAATCTGGTTCACTACTTAACAAGGCTAAGAGGTGCCAAGTTTTGGGAGCAAGTTTAAGAGTGAGTAGTGCACCCTGACCAGAATTCAGCTCTTTGATATAACAATAAATACTTAAAAATTAAACATTGTGAAAAATATTGTCAATCAGCAACATCAGTTCAAAAGAAAATGGAAAAACTGAGCCATAATGTTGAAATTACACTTATTTTTCTTGCTGTTTGTTTTGTAAAAGGATGAACATTTACAGAATGTACTTGTACTTCTTTACACAAAAAGAAAGGGGGAAAATTGGAGCTGATGATATTTATAGGTTATTTTGTGATTGTTTTATTTGTCAAGCCCACTTGAGATCAAAATGGGCTGTATGTAGCCTGTGAACTAAAATGAGTTTGACATCCCTGACCTATAGGATATACAAAAAAGAGCCACTTGTGTGCCTGTAATACTTTGAAAGGTCAAGTTTTCTTTCAAAGATGAGATGAAGTCTTTTGGCATTTGTTGAAATCCCTGTATTCTTGGAGCGTTATAAGTTAAGGGGACAGCTTGCCCACAAAATCTGAAAGTACATATTTTCCTCTTACCTGTAGAGTTATTTATCAGTCTAGATTGTTTTCGTGTGAGTTGCAGAGTGTTGGAGATATCAGCCGCACAGATGTCTGCCATTTCTCCATTCGGCTTGTGGAGCTCCAAGTGCCAATTCATTTGAAATATTCACCATTAAAGTCTCGTTCCAGAAATCATGACCTGGTTACTCAAAATAATCCGCAGACCTTGTTGTGAGCAGTTTCATGTAGGAACTATTTTCTTTCTACCAAACTACACCCGCCAAACATATCACTGCACAGACGGAAGTGTGCATCAACTGCTAACTAGTGTTGCACGGTATACCGGTACTAAAATAGTACCGCGGTACTAGAGTATTCCAAATGGTACTATACTGCATTTGGAAAATACCGGTACTTTGAAATTGATTCAGTTCATTAATTTAGTTAATTTATTTTACTCATTTATGCACACAAACGCCTTTCTTGTTCCTATTGGAGCACAGATTGCACAAGTGGTGTGTATGACAACACCTGTATCAACATCCGCAGCTGGCGCACATGAAAAAAGACAAGAGAAAGTCTGAATCGCAAAGGGAGATAACACGAGACAACACAAACTTGGTGGAACATTTGAGTTACCAAACCGTGACGTCCGTACCGAGGTACTTACCGAACCATGATTTTTTTTGGTACCGTTACACCCCTACTATTTATTGTTCTAAAGGTTTGTATCCAAAAGGACTTTTCCTTAGGAAAAGTACCGAAGAGTATCGAAAAATATCAAAATTCATATTGGTATTGGTACCGAAACAAAGATTTTGGTATCATGACAACACTAGCCGAGTGCCATCTAGTTCCATTATATTCAAGAGAAGACAGACATTTCTACGGCCGATATCTCCAACATTTGACAACTGACACCAAAACAAACTAAACTGATAAACAGCACTACAGGTAAGAGCAAAAATATGTAATTTTTATTTTGGGGTGAACTGTCCCTTTAAACTTATAGCTCTCTGTTGTCATTTTGCTTTATGCTATTTTTCAAAACTCTGTAGTCTCCTTCAATAGTCACATCTGTTGTGAAGCCATAGTATTCTTCTGAAATGCTTCACATGGTTTTCCCTAAGAGGCGGAGCCACATGGCATGTTCAGGCTTTCATTCATTCAAGGATCAATGAGCATACGTTCTGGCATTTGGTGGCTTTTCTGGAAAGCAGTCTCCTGTAGGCCGCTGTGCAGGCCCCCACAGCTGATCATATTATTTCAGCTGGTGTGCTGCACTCACCTTCAGTGTGCGCTCCACTATGGGTCGCAAAAGGGATGACTGGTACAGGACAAGAAGAGAAAGGAAAACCTACATGCCACAGAATGATGGATGACAGGAGCACTACGCTGCACATCCTCGAGGAGCCTCAGATGCGAAGAGAAGGGGAGAGGCTTCGAACTTTTCACAACTGGCCGGCAGATGCGCCTGTCACATCTGGAGACCTGGCCAAGGCGGGCTTCTTCTTTCTGGGCCCTGCAGATAAAGTCCAATGTTTCTGCTGTGGAGGGATTTTAAGACACTGGGTACATGGGGACAGCCCGGCCGCCGAGCACAAGAGGCATTTCCCCGCTTGCAGTTTCATACAGGGCCGGGCTGTGGGAAATATTCCTCTCCAACTTGGCTCCTCAGACTCTGTGGACGGCCAGCTGTTGAGTCAACTCCAGAGGATGACTATGGATGACCAGGGGACAGCTGGGCAAGCGGTGTACCCAGAGATGGAGGCGGAGGATTCCCGACTCACCACTTACCACAACTGGCCCACTGAGGCCTCAGTCCAGCCAGATGTTCTCGCCAGAGCAGGATTCTTCTACACAGGTACTCACTATACACCTTTAAAACATTCACATCCTCCTTCTTTAATGTCTTAATAATTAGCGACAATTTGAGCATCCATGAGTGTATTTCAGTGAAATATTCAGCTCTGACCCAGTCACTGCCAGAGTGACCTCTCTTTGTGAGAGAGTTCATGATACAATTGTCCTGCTGAGTCATGATGTTGTGGACAGAACAACCTGGACAATGCTGGGGCTGCTAAAGAAGGTGGGCTCCACAGCTTCAGGCAACACAGAGTGTGGACACAATATCATGGCAACCAAGACAAAATAATGCAATCAAATAAAGTAACACTACAATGGGTGGTGTCTTTGTGAAGCTACGAAGGTTAGTTTTACTGAGTCTGTGTCAAAGAGGGGTTGATTAATTGTCATTTTTACAGGTTTCAGTTTGAGCACAGGACTGATTTGTGTAAAGCTGTAAAGTTTCTGGTCCTGTACATCCTGACAGGTCACGGAGACAACGTCAAATGCTTCTACTGTGATGGAGGGCTGAGAAACTGGGAGCCAGGAGATGACCCCTGGCAGGAACATGCCAAGTGGTTTCCACGGTAACAGCAGGACTTGTCACAAAGCACATTGAAGAAATCATTTGCCGGTTTTTGCACTAGCCAAATTTTTTTTTCAAGTTTCAAGTTGTTTTGTGTTCTGCACGCATGCTTTGGCAGATTATAAAACAGCATCTCTGTTTCTCAGATGTGAGTTTTTAATCCAGACGAGAGGGCAGGAGTATATCAGCAACATTCAGGATGCTCATTTCCATCTGGGTGAGACTGTGGTGAGAGCCTTTATCCCCCTTATCTGCTCGGAGTGAAGTCTGTTTTTCATGCAGCAGACATTATAACCACACACTGATGAGTGACAGTTTGTCATTGCCGCATTTAAATCATTCATGACTTTCATTGCAAATTCAAAATATGATTACTTTTCTAGGGTGGATCACAGACCTCCACAGGCAGAGATATCGGATCCAGAAACGGTAAGTCATATAAAATTGAAACAAGGCAGGGAATGATGGGTGCGTAACAAGAAAGAACCTTTATTCCTAACAGGTAGACCTGGATAAGAAAATAGCAGCCTTTGATGCCAAAAATGATCTTTGTGTATCCTGCCGTGCAAAGAATCAAAGTGTCAACATCCACTCGTGCTTGTTCACACAAAAGGGGAAAGGTGGAGCAAACATCGTGAGTCGCATTGCAGGTTGTGCAAATGGATAAAATAAAGGCTGAAACCAGTTTTCTCAGACAAACCTGGTGTGAACCACTTGCACAAAGCACACCTTGCACCAGGCAACTGCTCAAAATCTGAAATTAGACTGTGAACAGGCTCTCTCTGGAACAAAGCAGCTCCATTACCTTTCTTTGGGAGGCTGCTGAAAATGAAATAACTGCATGTTCAATTATCTGAGCTAATGTTTGCGATAGGATTGCAGTAATCACAGAGTGCTATGGAAACCATTTGTTGCCCATGGTTGCATGGCAGGCGGGAGAGGGCCATTATTCCATACAATGATGGAATTACAATTATAATCCATTTCAGCAGATTAACACAAGAGGTCTGTGGTTTGAAATATAAAAGGCAGGGTGCACAATGTGTCCCCCTAATGCCCCCACTTATCAGATAGGTTGCTTATAGTTAATGTGTTATCTAGAAGGGAGGTAGATCTGTGGCTATTCTCTAGCACTACTCTCGCTTTCCTCACTTCTTCCTCTCCTCTTGTCTCCCAGATATGGTCGGCAGTCTGGGAGCTTCCTCGGCCATGCTCTCCCCCGTGGTGCAGACTGTGCTGCAGATGGGCTTTGAAGCGAACCTGGTGGAGAGTCTGGTCCAGACCAAGTACCTTTTGACAGGTCAGCACTACACTTCTGTATCTGACCTGGTCACTGACGTACTGCAGGCGGAGCAGGAGGACAGACAGAGTGGGCCACAGAGCAGAGGTAACAACCAGTGGTGGGAAGTAACGAGTACATTTACTCAAGTATGGTGCATTTCTGTAGCTTAACTTGAGTATTTCCATTTTCTGCTACTTTATACTTGTACTGGACAATTCAGAGAAACATATTGTACTTTTTGCTCAACTACATATATCAGCTACAGTAACTCCTTACTTTTCAGATTAATATTTTACATAAAACACACGATATCAAACACAATACATCGTTTAAGATTAAACCTGTGGTTTCCAAGCTTTTTGACTCGTGATTTCTTACAAGAAAATTATTTGGTTGGGGCCTCTTATCACATTTCATGTGCCTATGAGTTGTTAGTAGTTCCAAGTACTTTAACTTTTGATACTTTACGTACATTTTGCTAACGCTTTTATACTTTCACTTAAGTAGGAGCTGTAAATGCAAGAACTTAGCTTGTCGTAGAGTATTTTTTACATCGTTGGATTGGTACTTTTATTAAAGGATCTGAATACTTCTTCCACCACTGGTAACAGTCAACTAGAGGTGTCAATAATTACCGTGCTGAATCACTGTCATTTTCCACAGGTACCCGATTTGAAGGCCCAGTGTGTAGGATTTAGGGGCAACTATCGGCAAAATAGTATATAGTTGTTTCTTGAGTAACCGAGAACGGACAAATCAACCACTAGCTCCAAATAGGGTAATTTGTATTTTCAAGTCAGCCACTGTAATTCTCCTACACGCTTGGCACATGGGAAAAGTTTCAGTTCTACAACCTCACCACTAGAGGCCACTAAATCCTACACACTGGACCTTTAACATGTGCAATAGTATGAGCTGAAATAGTAATAACCTAAATATCAGTGTTATAATGGATACTTTAGTTTGTAATATGTTTTTTTTTCATGCTTGTGTTCTTAGAGTCAGAGACGAGGCAGGGCTCCAGTGCTGGAAATGTGAGGACACAAACACCCATCAGAGAGAAAGGTCAGAGGTCAACACCTTTATGATTTGCAAGGTGGAAAAAACAGCTTTTGTGCCTGTAACCAGGGTTCCCACGCTTCTTAAACATCAAATCAAATTCAAGAATCCAACATGGGAGAGTTTGAGGCGCAGATCAAGGTTAATTACTGTTACAACACTGAGAATTTTTATAAAGAGAAGGAGTGGGCTTTACGGAAGCACACAGGCAACAATTAAAAAGAGAGAAAGGCTTAAATGGGTAAACACTTCTCATTGTGCTGTTGCAGTGACGGTCTCTTTGCTCATTAAACAGCAAAGCAAAACAATACATTGTGTAAGTTGAGAAAATATCTAGTCTCACACAATATATATGTATATATATCAATCAAATTTCAAGGTCTTGTTTTTGTCCCCTCAAATATACTAACTTTGAAGGATTCCAAGAAGCTGTGGGAACCCTTTTCTAACACTTTTAATGACCAGTAACCCCAGTGAGTTGCTAACACAACTTAGCTTCTATGCAGTGTGAGTGCTTATCTGATTTCCTGTTTGTGGTCCCACAGTAAAGGACCCCAGCCCAGAAGAGCTGCTGAGGCAGCTGCAGGAGGAGAGAACCTGTAAGGTGTGCATGGACAAACTGGTGTCCATTGTTTTCATCCCCTGTGGCCATTTGGTGGTGTGTGGTGATTGCGCTGCCAGCCTGCGTCACTGCCCCATCTGCAGAGCTGTCATTAGAGGCAGCGTTCGTGCTTTCATGTCCTGAGGCTGTAGTGAGAAGCAACTGTTATACAGGTGATGCATGAGTGGCCTTGAATTTTTTCCTCTGTACTCATTTGACCTTGTACTGATACAGAAAATAAAGATTATTGCTGGTTGCTTGTCAGAGCTGACAGATACTTTTCTATAAACATTTTAAGCTGTTGAATATGTGTATGGTTATTATGATTACTCGCAATCAGAGTGCACTTCACAACACATCTACTAAACGACCCCCAGTATCATTAAAAGAGCACATTCTTTTATTAACAAACACCTATTTACATGAACACAAAGCACAGTTCTGGATAAATAGGATTACACAATCAGGTCACACGGGGTTGAGGCAACACAGGACACAAAATAGAAGAGAGAGATACAAAAAAAAGGAGATCTTTTCCACTTTCTATACAAAGAAAAAGAATTATCTACAAACGGGTGGAATCTTTTTCAGTGGAGACTAGCACATACACACACAACCGTAACAGGTTTCAACTAATTCCAGTCACCGGAAATTTTAGGGAGAGGCTGTATTGCACTGAGAGGAAGACTAGTTTTTACATAGTAGCATTTACTACTAATACTGATTATGTTACAATATGAGGTGCTTTGTGTTTTCACTAACACACACACACCAGTTAGCCTGCCAGGGGTGTGTAAACGTTAAATCATAAAGACAATAATGACACATAAATTATTGCATCTTGCCAAAGATGACCAATCAAATCAAAACGGGTCGCTGTCATCATTCTGAAATTAGCTGGCAGAAGTGGTCAGGTGATTTTCAGAATCGCAACAGTTTTTGGACCGTCTATCTAGCAGTGAAGAACATCTAATACCACAGAGGGATCTGACACGCAACTGAGATATTTTTAGGTGCTGACTATAAAAAGGACTGAAAACAGAAAGAACTTCTTTGTTCACTACGCTTTTGATTCCTGGAAAAAAAAATAGCTAAGCAGACCATTTTAAACTTAGCACCAAGAAATTATAATCAGACTAAAAGCATACTAAAAATGCTTCGATTCAAATGTAGTGCGCAAAAAACCCCCCAGATCTTGATCTAAACAATAAAGACTGAGTATAACACTGACACCAGGGCAAAGCACCAACTCCTGCTACATCACAATCACCCAGCAAAAACACTATTTTAAGATTTACTGTTATCTGCAGACAAAAAATAGTTTTAAGACAAACTGTGTAGATTCATGGACCTTGCAGCAGAAACTCAGTGGCCTTATAACTTGCACATGAACACTTTGAACACCAGAGAGCAGTAGTGATTCGCACTAACGGTAAGGCAACAGGGGATCTGACTTCAGTCCTAAAACATGTGACATTAACAACAAAAAGTGCTACCATCAGTTTAGGTGATATGACCCATGTGTGTGTGTGTGTGTGTGTGTGTTCTTTTGTCCAAATAAAAATGTTGCTGGGTCAGAATAAAATCAATCTGAGTAGGAAACTACTCCGCAGACGCTTTCAGTTACAGTTTAACCAGCTCATACGCAAACCAGTTGACGACATCAGTTTTGCTATTTTGTCTTTACTTAATATGTTATACACATAATTACAATACAAACCCTGTAAAAAACATGCTATAAAACAATCACAACTGAGACTATCACCATTGAGAATCTACACTGTTGAACTGACAGGAGACAAACGCTCTGGTTCACTCAGGTACAGGCCACGCTATTCCTCCACTGAAGATGTCACAACTCAACGCTGTTGTATGCAATGTGAATAGTAAAAACAATTTCTATTGTTTTCCTGAAGTTAAAAATATGCTGTGTGACCTCTGTTTGAGAGTGTGTAATGATCACCCCTGTCAGGAGCTCGATGTGTCGGTAGTTAGAGGAGAGCTGAAGTGAAAATAAAGCTTTCAGTGTGTCTTCTAACACATGACACTTCAGAAATACTGACTTGGCTGTTGGTGAGAATAGTCGCAACAATAAGACTCCAGAAATAAAAGTAAGACTCACATGCCGTTCCTTGTGTTTGAACACCTCTTTGCGTTCTTGATAGTTCACATTTCAAACTCTAAATCCAAATTTCTTACCCCCCCCCCGTTTTGTTATTTACATTTTCTATTTTTGACAGATGCCCCTGTAGGGTTGGTGCTTTTGTTCCCTCCCCTCCCTCTACCCTCTACCTCTCCACTCCCCTGCCTCTTCCTGCTTTGCTCGTGTATTTATGCACACAGATCCTGGCCTAAAGTAAACAGGCAGCGCACAATAGCTCATTCCACGGGCTCCACTGTAATTCAGCCCTCTGGCCAAGATCTGAGCCAAACCAGCAATAACATGCTAAATCACTGAGTCCTCTAAGACACAGGACCACAGACTGGGAAAGCTGGGGCAGTCCCTGATTACACACACAATGTATTTATATGCTGTACATGTTCTATACAGTCATGTTTGTGGGGTGTATTAGACCATTATGGGCAGGTCACAGCCATGGGACCTCAGCAGAGAACTCCATACAAAGAAAATGATTGATATTTCCCTAAACACACAATATGAGGCTTTGTTGCACTGTAATCCCCCCTTTCCCAGAACCCGTCATCCCTCCCTGGAAAACAATGGACCCTAACTGAAAAGTGGTGGCTTTTCCTGGCAGTACACCAGTAAATGACATGTTTAAAGTACTGAAATCAAGAGGGGGAGGAATGTCTGGCGTGTCCCAGTGAACTGAGATGTTTGTGCCACAACAGCCATTTTGTCTCCGTGGGAATTCGCTGTGTCACCTCCGCACTGGACGCTCTCTTATTTACGTAGACCTGCAGAGAACACAAACATGGGAAGAAAGGAAGACGGTTAACATTCGTCGGGGCAACTTGCACGCAGACACGCAGACATTTATGCACACACACTTCCCTGGATGAATGTCTCCTGGATATAACTCCCAGTAGATTGGAGGAGACGAAAACTTCCTCCCTCCCATTAGAGACGGAGCTGATTAAACTGTCAAGAAGCTAATAAAATATTCATCTCATGTTGGCAGAGAATTATTACATGACTTCCCAGACTTATTGTTATTAAGTCCTCTGCACAACTTAATTGATTAATCCAATTTTAGTCAGATTTTTTGTGTGTTTTTCTCCATTTGCTTCTATCAGTTACTGCCTGCAGCACTGAGATGCACATATACTGGTACACCCACACATACACACACATATTCCCTACAGCCCTCTGACAGGATGTAGCATGTCTCGGAAAGACATCTACTCCCCAGACATGACTCAAAGCCCCAGATACTGAGCAAGTGTTTGCACAATCACTCCGAGTCAGTGTTGTTTTGTAACATCCTGGATCCTCATCAAATTCTAAAAAGCTCACACTGGAACAAGTGAGTTGAGATTACTTGTTCTGATTATTGAACAGTTGTAGGAAAATCAAGGGATCCCACTCCCAGCAAACACTGGTAGGACAGTGACGTTGAGTCCCTGGCCAAAAATCGTCACGGCTGGACGCCAAAAGCGGCAATGCAGTTTTGAGGTAGAGAGCCCAATGGTGACGGTGTTTCTACTACCAATACATGTCCATTCAGAGCCTCTCTTCTAAATCAGGAAATATTGATCATATTACACATCTATTTTTTTAATACAACATTTTATTGACAATTTATTTGTTTGGTTGTGAAGTGGTTGTGATCAGAAGGTAAAACTATGATGAGCACTTCAGGTCCAAAGACCAGTATTACTCGATGCCCATTTTTTTAATATATAAAAGATGCCTATGTCATTTAAATTCATCAACTGTTTCACTGTCTCATTGTTTTAAACCTGTGATGTTTGAAAGGGCCAAAAGTCTATCCAAGTTGTAGTTAGTGGCACATGGGAGAAGTAGCCTTTGCTAGAAAGTCAGGTGATGTGGCATGAAGACCGACAAACTTTATAAAGACAAGTAAGCCCCTTTTACACTGCCAGATTTTATGCGAATGTTGGGCCGTTTTGCCGGCAAGCTGCGAGCGTTTAGACACACAGAGCCAGATTGGCGAGTTGATCCAAGGTGCCCAATTTTCCGCCTCGTAGGGTAGGGTAGACATATTGACGGAACCTTTTTGGTTTAATAAGAACGAGGTGCCTTTCCGCCACGGAGGGGCTGTTGAAGACTTGTGGGAGGAGCTGTTGATGACGCCGCATGTGCGAGCCACTGGCAGTGGATAAACAGGAAACAGCTGATAGCAGGAATGAGCAGCTAGTAGCAAGAGGGAAATGCAAACCTGACAGACACTACAGTAAAGATGAGCAACTGGAGAAACAAGGAATTGCGCCTCCTCCTTACCCTCGCAAACGAAGAGGCCATTAACCGTCAAATGACGGGGACGGTGAAGAATGGGCCGACTTACGAGAGAATCGCTGAAGGACTGACCAGCCACGACTTCCCACTGTTTACGTCACCATGGAGCTACACGTTTTGTTACTGTCTCACGCCCCCCATTGCCCTCAAAAAGGTGCATTCTGTATAAACAAAAGTAGGTAGGCGGAATTTCGCCACACTCCCTGATTTTGTTTTTATACTGCCAATGCTGAAAGAAGACTGATTGGACTTTCCTGCAAATTTAAAATCTAAAAAGGGCTGTAGAATGAGTTGGATAAAGCACTGAGCTTTCACCTGGGACACTGAGGTTCAAGTCCTGTGTGGGTCAACGTTAGTTTATTATTTGGACATATTTTGATGTTTCTAGGATGCTTAAGAAAGACGTCCAGCTGATGGCCAGGTAATGCTGCGTCTTGATTTGACATTCAAATAACGGTCATTTAATGTCTCAGTGTTTGCTGGGATGTAACCTTAAAGAGGAAACAGTTAGATACAAACAGGCACAAGCTAAACTGTTCATGTCCGCAAAAGGCAACAGATAATATGAATACTGACATGCACCTGTTCGTACAGTCACAATTAAAGCACACAGAGACACATATGGTGGCATGGCACATTCATACTTACAGGTACATGGGCTTTAAGAGGAGATGAGATGGTTTCTCATTGACATGGTAGAGTGGGAATGGGTCAAATCCACCAATAAAATCAACTGAAAACAAAGGATTAAACATATAATTTATGGAGCAAACCAAAAGACAGACAATAACAGAATAGAACACTGAAATAAATGAAAAGACATGCACGATAAAAAAAGAAGATAAAAACAGATGAATGAGAAATGAAATGGGAACTAAAGACACAGTGGGAACAGATGCATTGCAGGGATGTTGAAAGGTAGGCATCTTGCCAAGAACAGTACAAGTCTTTTTTATTTTTAACAAATAAAAGTCCACCAAGAAATAATAATAAAAAAAAAATCTCTGCTTTAACTTTTTATCTGTGTATCTGCCTGCGGCTACAGGCAAAGCTCAGGAACAGGTGAAAGCTGGCCAGCTGTCAAAATAGCCAAAGCCTTTTTATCGCTCAGAAACAGAGGTGACCTTCAGCCACCGACCGAATGCTCAACCCTCTCTGTTTATTTTCTCACTTAAGAGTTCAGACTCTAGGCGATGTGCAGATGAGCAGACCAGTGTTATGTCGCATGAGAAAGAGAGAGGGACACGCTGGCAACCAAAGTGTTGTGTATTTTTGCACAGATGCAGGGAGATATTTTTGAGATGAAGGGAAAGGCTTGCGGCTCCAGAGGGGGAGAAAGGGGAGAGAGAGAAAGAGGGGAGGAAGGGGCGCGTCACGCTTGTCGGTCTGACTGACAGGGGGGGCCAAAGAGATTAGGTTGGAGGAGCGCATGTGACAGAGGCCAGCATGTCCAGGAGCTGTGAACACCACAAGGGGAGGGAAAAGGAGGAACAGAGATTGGACCTGATTCAGTGGAAAGAAGATGACAAACAAAGAGTGGATCTTAGTTCAAGAGGATGACAAAAAAAAATGGCAGATCTGTTACTTTCTGGGAATCAACAGCTGTGGGGGAAAAAGAGACACAGGCCAGCCATGGAAACTACTGTAAGGCCAATCAGTTTCATCCTGATAAGGGGAGGCAGGGGTGGTCTGCTGAATACTGATAGGTAGGCAGGATGAGCGCAGAGAGCCACAGGGTGCTGTAGGGAGGTGGCTGTCCCTTTCCTGTGACCCTGCCCTGGTTTCCTGGGATTCTCTGTTTCATCTGTACACCAGATACACACACACACCACCCACACAGACAAACACACCCTGCTCTTTTCTGTACCACTGATTTTCTCATTATAAGCAGGTGGGGACCCAGTCCCTGCTATGATAAGCTGTGCTGAGGAATACACTCAGATGATAATGATGGTTGCCATTTTTAGACGCACTCGCAGCTCTAGGGACGGCGGTGTCGGTCGGTCGGTCGGCGCATCCATCAGTCTTTCAATCCAACACTTTGGTTCAGAGTGAAGTATCGTGACGACTGTGCTGTGAAATTTGGCACAGATATTCAAAGTCTCTGGAGGATGAACTCTAATGACTCCTGACTTTTGATGTAGTGCCACAAACATGTCAAATGTTCATTTAGTGACAGGAAAATTAACAGCCAAGTTCCTGTCATGTGTCACAGGAGAGCAGTTCAATAATTTTATGATAAGCACTCATCTTAAAGAGCAGAGTCTGAGCCTCAACAGGTGCCCTTCACTTTCACTACCTGCTCTGAATCCAATGAAGATATGAGGTATCAAAACACTAGTTGCACCTTTTTAAAAGCTTCATCTATAACCCTGCGCTCCATCCTTCCTATGTACTTTATAGGTATGTCAGCCTGTTAATAGCTGTTGAACCTTTTCCCCCATTAATTATTACACACACTGGTCGGGCCCTGACCTTTATCTTCTGTGCAGCTCACTAAAGGTCTGACAATCTGTGTGTGTGTTTTCAACGGTGCAAAACTGAGCATTCTGAAAACACTGCCATATGTTAGGTGATATCTCACTCTAATGTGCCTCACCATTTGGGAATGTTTGAGACTTGCCTGAGCAATCTGTTCTTTATGCTTGCTCTGTAAACAGCAAACATTTTGAAAATGAATGTAAAAAAGCTGCTGCGATGAAATGGCGGAGAGCTGCGAGTTCAAATGGGCTGTTCGCTCTCAGTAGGTGCTTCAAGCACTTTTCAAATGTTTTGGCATTTCAGTGCGGATGGCAAACTTTTACAAAATGATCAGGGAACGCCAGTGAGGACGGAAAACTCAGCATGAAACAGTGTATTCAATTCAATAGACTGGCCCCCTTATTTCACCCATCAGCAACTATATCCCCACTATTTATTTATTATTTACATTTTCAACTGTACAATACTGACAGCTGGAAATAATGCTGTGCAATCACTCAGCTGTGCAACACTTCACTATTGTTGCATTTATATTTAACACACATTTTAGTATGATGCACACATTAGTATGTAATTCGAAGGCCTCGATTGCACAGGAAGCTTATTGCAGGTTGAAAAACGTGAGGTGCGCAACACTGCCTTTTTCAAAAATAAAAATAAAAAATTGAATGCCACTAGTGAAAAAAAAAATCCCACTTGCTGCACCTTTTATTGTTACCAGGCAACCACAGACTCACCTCCTTATTCTAACCTTTCCATGTAATCAATCTACTGTTTATTTATTTATTTTAGTTTTTTGACAGTAGTAAGTATCTAGTTCCTAAAATTCCTAAAAGATTTGCTGTAGCTCTGGTTGAGGGTGAGAGTCTGTCAGCAAATAGTTTGTTGGGCACAAGGAAATAGAGATCTGTGTGGGTATATGAGACCCTAAAAAAAGGGTCAGGTGTACACCTCCATGATTGTCGTTTCCAGGCATATTTTAGGATGACTCGGGGGCAGTTCGACAACCTGCTGTCCATCATTGGTGTGTACAGCTCTGAGTATCCAGCAACAGCTACCACCTGTTTCTCCTCCATTGTTTACCAACTGTAAACTGGTTGTCGTGACTACCACAGAAGACATGCTGCCTCTCAAGTCATCCGATTGGACAATGGGGAAAAAAAGATGAAGGAAAAAAAAGAGATGACATGGGGCATTTTTCCACTCTGAGTTGAAGTTTTTTCAACTTGAGGAGTTCAGAGTGCTCCAGCAAAAACACCAGGCGCCTAAAACGCAAAAATGCGAGGGGCGTCGCAACGCAAAAGTCAGAGCAGAAAGCTTTATTTTCATCAAAAACAATTGGGAAAAACCCACCTCCAGCTACTAAAATGCTTTCAGTGTGATAGTTCATGTTTTCCTATTTATCTATCTATCTATCTATCTATCTATCTATCTATCTATCTATCTATCTATCTCAGGTGATGTATGAGACGTATGTCATGTGACGTTACATTATGTTAGCTACAAACACACTTATTTTAAGCCAAACCATGTTGTTTTTTTCTAAACCTAACCATGTGGTTTCGTTGCCTAAGGAAGTAAACTTAAAGATTAAGTTTTTCTTTAACTGTGTTCAAAGTTCATTTTTAATAGACTGTATTCATTTATCGAGTGGAAACTGTAGATTTCATGTGAAAACTGGAGTTTATTTAAATGACGCAATGACTGTAAATTGATGCACCATCCATGAACATCCAAAACTGATGCTGGAGGGTATCTAGAGCGTCACAGTTTGACGTGTAGGGCCACTGACCAAGTGTTGGTATTTCACTATTTAAGCTGGAAGTGAGAATGTGTTGCCTATGCTGATATACAGTGAAAGAATAACTTTAACGTGTCCCTTGCGAATCAATAAAGTATTTCTGATTTGATACTGATTGTCTCCAGTGCGGATAGTGGCCTTGGAAACAGATATTGGCAGCTGCTCAGTTCATGTGATCCTGTAATACTGACAGAAACAAGCTCAGTTTCTCCCAGGCAGAGGGAGCAAGCTGGTTTTCACTTGTGTGGACACACAAGAGAAATGAAAGGTATGTAGGTCAACAGCTCAGGCATCTATGTGGTGCCCCTACACAAGCAGGGAATAATGTAAGACGATTACATCTCAGTTCAAGTGCAAACTGGTTGAAAAATCAGAGGATCTGTGTTGAACCAGGTGAGAAACTGAGTCAGTGTACAGTTTACTACTGCATCTACTGCTGTGTGTGTGTGTGTGTGTGTGTGTGAAGGGCAGGCGAGCTGACAGTTAACTGAAACACAGGCACAGAGATAAAGGGAATAAGACTGGGAGGGAAAAACAGGGTTGGTGAGAACAGAAGAGCGGACAGTGAGGAAGAAGAAGAGAGAAAAACAAGGTGAGACAAAGACAGAGAGATAAAGTGCAGACAGATAGTTCAAGACTTCTGAGCTTGTCTGTAACGCTGGAAAAGGTGAGTTACAAGACACAGTTGTGGTTTCTCCCTCTCTCTCTCTCTCTCTCTCTCTCTCTCACGCACACACTCTGAATTTAAGGGAGCGCCTCATAGTTGGCTCTGATCTGCAGTGCTGTATCTCCGTCCTCACACACCATTACACAGGCATCACTGCGATACAGGCTCCTCATTTACTTTTAAGACCAGTTTAGCTGTTTTATGCTTTGTTATTTTGCATATGAAAACTTCAGGTATGTTTGATTGAGAGTGTATTTAAAGTTAATCATCCATGCAAAGAGGAGAAAGTTTCCAGGCAAAGATCCTCTAGAAAGTTTGTCTGGTCTCATTATGTTAAAATGAAAATGACCAGGTCAAAATGCAGCTCAAAGGCTCTGCGACACCACACAGGTGTTTTTTAACATGTCACCTAGCTCTATGTGTTAATACGAGTGATAAAGATGGAAACTGTCAGGCCCTAATGAGTGTAAGAAAACTAGGAGTGTCAATCAAGCCCAGCGTGTGCACGCCCCAGTCAGGCAACATAAGTGAAAACACCTGTGTGGGTGGATTACTTGTGTGAGGAGGCTTTAACTGAATAAATACAAACAAATAACGTGGTGTAAAAGTAAAATGATTGTGACAGTTTACTATTTTGCAAGCTGGGAGTCATAAAATTTTACCTTCCTTTTTTTTTAAAAGCCCAGTTCAGACCAATGATTCAAAACCGTCCTAGAACATTGCAGAGAAAAGTTGCAGCGGTGTGAACTGGCCAGTCTGAGTCTGACTCCAGCCAGCTGATGGT